CTACTCTGCTCTACTCTCCCCTGATTCCACTTTCTCTACTTTGCTCTACTCTCCCCTGATTCCACCTTCTCTACTCTGCTCTACTCTCTTCTGATTCCACCTTCTCTACTCTGCTCTCTTCTGATTTCACCTTCTCTACTCTGCTCTACTCTCCCCTGATTCCACCTTCTCTACTCTGCTCTACTCTCCCCTGATTCCACCTTCTCTACTTTGCTCTACTCTCCCCTGATTCCACCTTCTCTACTCTGCTCTACTCTCTTCTGATTCCACCTTCTCTACTCTGCTCTACTCTCTTCTGATTCCACCTTCTCTACTTTGCTCTACTCTCTTCTGATTCCACCTTCTCTACTCTGCTCTACTCTCTTCTGATTCCACCTTCTCTACTCTCTTCTGATTCCACCTTCTCCACTCTGCTCTACTCTCCCCTGATTCCACCTTCTCTACTTTGCTCTACTCTCTTCTGATTCCACCTTCTCTACTCTGCTCTTCTGATTCCACCTTCTCCACTCTGCTCTACTCTCTTCTGATTCCACCTTCTCTACTCTGCTCTACTCTCCCCTGATTCCACCTTCTCTACTCTGCTCTACTCTCCCCTGATTCCACCTTCTCTACTCTGATCTACTCTCTTCTGATTCCACCTTCTCTACTCTGCTCTCTTCTGATTCCACCTTCTCTACTTTGCTCTACTCTCTTTTGATTCCACCTTCTCTACTCTGCTCTACTCTCTTCTGATTCCACCTTCTCTACTCTCTTCTGATTCCACCGTCTCTACTTTGCTCTACTCTCTTCTGATTCCACCTTCTCTACTCTGCCCTACTCTCTTCTGATTCCACCTTCTCTACTCTGCCCTACTCTCTTCTGATTCCACCTTCTCTACTTTTCTCTACTCTCTTCTGATTCCACCTTCTCTACTCTGCCCTACTCTCTTCTGATTCCACCTTCTCTACTCTCTTCTGATTCCACCTTCTCTACTTTGCTCTACTCTCCCCTGATTCCACCTTCTCTACTCTGCTCTACTCTCTTCTGATTCCACCTTCTCTACTCTGCTCTACTCTCTTCTGATTCCACCTTCTCTACTCTGCTCTACTCTCTTCTGATTCCACCTTCTCTACTCTGCTCTACTCTCTTCTGATTCCATCTTCTCTACTCTGCTCTACTCTCTTCTGATTCCACCTTCTCTGCACTGCTCTACTCTCTTCTGATTCCACCTTCTCTACTCTGCTCTACTCTCTTCTGATTCCACCTTCTCTACTTTGCTCTACTCTCTTCTGATTCGACCTTCTCTACTCTGCTCTACTCTCTTCTGATTCCACCTTCTCTACTCTGCTCTACTCTCCCCTGATTCCACCTTCTCTACTCTGCTCTACTCTCTTCTGATTCCACCTTCTCTACTCTGCTCTCTTCTGATTCCACCTTCTCTACTCTGCTCTACTCTCTTCTGATTCCACCTTCTCTACTCTGCTCTACTCTCTTCTGATTCCACCTTCTCTACTCTGCTCTACTCTCCCCTGATTCCACACTTCTCTACTCTGCTCTACTCTCTTCTGATTCCACCTTCTCTACTTTGCTCTACTCTCTTCTGATTCCACCTTCTCTACTCTGCTCTACTCTATTATGATTCCACCTTCTCTACTCTGCTCTACTCTCTTCTGATTCCACCTTCTCTACTCTGCTCTACTCTCCCCTGATTCCACCTTCTCTACTTTGCTCTACTCTCTTCTGATTCCACCTTCTCTACTCTGCTCTACTCTCTTCTGATTCCACCTTCTCTACTCTGCTCTACTCTCCCCTGATTCCACCTTCTCTACTCTGCTCTACTCTCTTCTGATTCCACCTTCTCTACGCTGCTCTACTCTCTTCTGATTCCACCTTCTCTACGCTGCTCTACTCTCTTCTGATTCCACCTTCTCTACTCTGCTCTACTCTCTTCTGATTCCACCTTCTCTACTCTGCTCTACTCTCTTCTGATTCCACCTTCTCTACGCTGCTCTACTCTCTTCTGATTCCACCTTCTCTACTCTGCTCTACTCTCTTCTGATTCCACCTTCTCTATTCTCCTCTGATTGCACCTTCTCTACTTTGCTCTACTCTGCTCTTACCTATTCTACTAGTCAAAAAAACCGCCCAGAACCAGCACATTGGGAAACCGGGATTTAACTGCCATGGAATGTTGGTTTTACATTTAAATGAACTGAACAGTCAAAATGACGGCCATGGAAATTAAAGATGCAGACGCAATTTTTATAACACTGTGGGGAAACGTCCCTAAATCTAAAAAGTAGTTAAGTTATCATCAGAATCAGGAAAGTTTTTACTGGCATGTAAGTAACATGAAGTCGAATTGCTGCCAAATGGACCGTAGCCTCCTGCCTGAAGGGGAGAGGTTGGAATAGTCCATGTGCAGGTGAGAGGGGTCGGCTGTGATACGACCAGCCCGGCCTCGAGCTCGGGCGTCGTACAGGTCCTGCAACGATGGAAGACTTCAGCAGATCACACAATGCGCTGTAGTCAATAGCTTTCCTGATGGAAGGCCAAGGTGGGAGGCTTCGTCACAGATTGCGTTTTTACATGTGCACTGGGAGTTGGGTTTGGTGGAGGAGATATATCGAAGAACACCACCCCGTTGGGCTTCATTGAGGTGGACTTGGACTGTATTGAGTCTATGAAATATGTACACACACCTTCTATGTTCAGTCCTCCTCCTCTTGTTGTAGCCAAAACTCACACTTATAGATGTTATTTATAGAAAGCTTCGACATGTTTGCACTCTCTAACTCGATTACAGCTCTCACTCAGACACCAGTGATGAGACACGTTTAAGACACACGCTGGGAAACGATGACGCCAGATCTGAGGAATTCACTTTGAGACCGAGAATCTGAGGCTCCCGAAGTCCGAGGTTCAACTAATGCCTTTGAATGTGCATTAAATTTGATTAGAGACATTATCTAAAGACAGTGTTGATGATCCAGGACATTTAACAACATTTATGGACATTGGTCATCTGCCCCTTAACGTTAACTGTTGGATTCTCTGATCTGGGTTAGCGAATCAACAACCGTGTAAAGTCCTCTGAGATAATAAATGTTGTGATTTAGGGCTGTACCCAAATAAATTGAAATTTAATTGAATTTGGAGAATGTCTGGAAACTCATCATAAACTGAAGTCTGAAAGTTATTAAAGCTAGATTACCTAACAATAAAATCAAAACCAATCAAATCAATATTCCTCAAAACAGTTTTCATTTTAGCGTCCGTCACACCTTTAGACCATAGACTGTATGCAGATGGACAATGGCAACCCTCTGGCTCAATGAAGACCAATAGGGAAGTGCTCATGGATGAATTTGTGTTCAAACTCACTCTGGCTCCTATTGTCTTAGAGGTAAAAGTAAACTTCTGTAGCTCAGTAACTGTTTGTGTCACACTCACGTCTGTGGTTTAGTGCTCTCTGTGATCCTGGTGTTTAAATTGTGACATTGTCTTTGTGAATCCAGATACAAGCCGTATAATTGGATGCCTTCATTAGGGAACTGTCTGGTTCTGAGTCTTGTTACCTTATCGAGACAGAATAACTTACTCTAGGCTCTGAATGTTTTGCTTATAAAGTCGTTTAGGTGTAAAGTTAGGATCTGTGAAATGTGTAAATGTTTGAGAACTAGGGTACATTTTCACTACTACACATATAATTTACTAAGATTTAAGTTTGCTTCATTTTTTTAAGTATAAAGTTGCGCTGCACCTAATAATAACTAATCTTGTGTTGTGGCTACTGTTCTTTAACCCAACGTGATACAAATTAAGGATCATTTAAAGCCTAATCCTGATGGGACTAATGTATGTTTATCATGATTTTAAAGGAATATGGTTTTTACAACAGACACACATTCATTCCTAATTAGTAGAATGACACAGGAAAATAATTTATACGATAATTTTATTGCATTATAATGAGAATTTTTTCTAATGATCCGTTTGACGTTGGTTTGAAAGGAGATGCAAAGGCACAAGCACAAAAACATTTCAAGCCATTATTGTCTTTCTTATACAGTGGTCCCTGGTTTATTGCAGGAGTTATGTGTTTAAAAAAATAAAAATAATAATAATAATAATAAGTGAAATCCTGTCAGTAGCAGCTGTATGTTATAATGCTGTAAAACCCTCACACACACTTCATACACTCACAATATCAAATCTGTTGGTCGTTGTCAAAAGCCGTTCATGTAAAATACAGATGACACAATGCTGAGGGAAAAGAGCAGGACTGAGAGCTACGGGAAGATCAGAGAGAGACCAGAGAGAGACCCGAGAGAGAGACCAGAGAGAGAGACCAGAGAGAGACCAGAGAGAGAGACCAGAGAGAGAGACCAGAGAGAGAGACCAGAGAGAGAGACCAGAGAGAGAGACCAGAGAGAGACCAGAGAGAGACCAGAGAGAGAGACCAGAGAGAGACCAGAGAGAGACACTGGAGAGAGACCAGAGAGAGAGACCAGAGAGAGACCAGACAGAGACCAGAGAAAGACCAGACAGAGACCAGAGAGAGACCACAGAGAGACCAGGGAGAGAGACTGGAGAGAGACCAGAGAGACCAGAGAGAGAGACTGGAGAGAGACCAGAGAAAAACCAGAGAAAGACCAGAGAGAGACCAGAGAGATGCCAGAGAAAGACCAGAGAGAGAGACCAATAGAGACCAGAGAGAGGCCAGAGAGACCAGAGAGACATCAGAGAGAAACCAGAGAGAGACCAGAAAGAGACCAGAGAGAGACCAAAGAGAGACCCGAGAGAGGGACTAGAAAGACCAGAGAGAGGGACTAGAGAGGGACCAGTGCGAGGCCAGAGAGAGAGAGACATTCTGACTTTAAATAAAGGAAACTGTCATGTTATACTCTCTGTTATGACGTTATTGAAGTGTACGAGCGGTGAACAGCGTTAAAGCCAGAGACCACTGTATCTTCTCCATGAGATTCAAATCCTCGTCAGTGTAAAACTATCGAAGTGCGTCAGGACTGGACCATCTTCTTGTGAGGGTCGAACACGTAGCGTTTGAAGTGGAGCACGATGGAGACCGGCTGCAGCGGCTCCGCCCTGAGCTCCTCCTCCGTTTGTCCTTTAGCTCCAGATTTACTCTTCTTCTTCGAGGCCGAGTTCAGCAGCTGCTTTGTCTCCGGGAGCAGGCCCTCTACAGGAAGAACACAGGTGTAAGAAAAGAGAGGTACATTTAAATTTAAAGGGCAGTTACTGCGTGTTATTGTGTGTGTTTATCTGGCATTTAAAGGGGACATGGACTTAAAATTAACAATGAGAAAATAAATGAAACAATTGAGCTGCGTTCACACCAAAAACATCAGAAATATAATCCACCATAAGTGAAATTGACAAAGTAGCAGATTCATGTTTTTTTCCTTCCCCCTTCATTGTTCTTGATTCAGACATAAGAATCAAGAACAATGTGAATCTCACATTGTTAGTCCTGGGTTTGTCCGGGTTCAGTCCTGGATCTGTCCTGGATCTGTCCTGGATCTGTCCTGGATCTGTCCTGGATCTGTCCTGGATCTGTCCTGAATCTGTCCTGGATCTGTCCTGAATCTGTCCTGGATCTGTCCTGAATCTGTCCTGGATCTGTCCTGGATCTGTCCGGGTTCAGTCCTGGTTCAGTCCTGGTTCAGTCCTGGTTCAGTCCTGGTTCAGTCCTTGCTCAGACCTGGTTCAGACCTGGTTCGATCCTGATTTTAGACCTGGTTCAGTCCTATTTCAGTCCTGGTTAAGTCATGATTTTAGACCTGGTTCAGTCCTAGTTCAGTCCTAGTTCAGTCCTAGTTCAGTCCTAGTTCAGTCCTAGTTCAGCCCTAGTTCAGCCCTAGTTCAGCCCTAGTTCAGTCCTAGTTCAGTCCTAGTTCAGCCCTAGTTCAGTCCTAGTTCAGTCCTAGTTCAGTCCTAGTTCAGTCCTAGTTCAGCCCTAGTTCAGTCCTAGTTCAGTCCTAGTTCAGTCCTAGTTCAGTCCTAGTTCAGTCCTAGTTCAGTCCTAGTTCAGTCCTAGTTCAGTCCTAGTTCAGAGCTGGTTCAAACCGGGTTCAATCCTGATATTAGACCTGGTTCAGTTATGATTTTAGACCTGGTTCAGACCTGGTTTAGCCCTGGTTATGGCCTGGTTCAGTCCTTGCTCAGTCCTAGTTCAGACCTGGTTCAGACCTGATTCAATCCTGATTTTAGACCTGACCCAGACATGGTTCAGTCCTAGTTCAGTCCAGGTTCAGACATGGTTCAGACCTGATATAGTCCTGGTTCAGTCCTTGCTCAGTCCTGGTTCAGACCTGGTTCAGACATGGTCGCCTGGTTTACTCCTAGTTCAGACCTGGTTCAGACCTGGTTCGGTGACTGAGGCAGACTGGCCTGGTCCAATAGATCCATGGTCCGGGGACAGCTCTAATCTCTGATCTCTGGACTCATAACAGCAGACAATAGAACGATGGTATCAGTCAGATTACCAAACTGTTACCCAAGGCTTTACATAAGTGACTAAAGTGACCTACTATACTATTGTGTCATGGGATCGCATGTCACTAACCAGTTTGTATATTCAATTAAAGCTGGGCTACGCAATTTCTGTGTTCTCCTTTTAGGTAATGCTTTATTGTCCCTGTAGGAAAATGTGTCCTCTGCATTTGACCCATCCTGCATTAACACAGTGGACAGTGGATTGAAGCAGAGAGAACATGTAACCACCACTCAGAAAGACCCTGTTCCGACAGCACAATAGAAAAATAAAATGTTTTAAAGCTGTAAAAAGCCTCAAATCCTCTGTATAAACTTAAACCCACCTGAACTCACGACTGCTGAAGTGCAATACCTGTGAGAGAGAGACCAGAGAGAGACCAGAGAAACCAGAGAGACAACAGAGAGACAAGAGAGAGACCAGAGAGGGACCAGAGAGACAACAGAGAGACCAGAGAGACAAGAGAGAGACCAGAGAGGGACCAGAGAGAGATCAGAGAGAGACCAGAGAGAGATCAGAAAGAGACCAGAGAGAGACCAGAGACCAGAGAGACACCCGAGAGAGACACCCGAGAGAGACCAGAGAAGAGACCAGAGAGAGATCAGAGAGAGACCCGAGAGAGACCAGAGAGAGATCAGAGAGAGATCAGAGAGATCAGAGAGACCAGAGAGAGACCAGAGAGAGACCAGAGAGAGACCAGAGAGAGACTAGAGAAGAGAACAAAGAGAGATCAGAGAGAGACCCGAGAGAGACCAGAGAGAGACCAGAGAGAGATCAGAGAGAGACCAGAAAGAGACCAGAAAGAGACCAGAGAGAGACCAGAGAGAGACCAGAGAGAGACCAGACAGAGATCAGAGAGAGACCAGAGAGAGATCAGAGAGAGAGTGCCCTGAACTAATCACTGTGATGAAAGGAACCCAAAGAGAGACCAGAAAGACTGAGACTGGAGCTTTTAGCCAGAAGGAGCAGAGCAACACGTTTGTGCCAAAAGTCCCAAGCATGGATGGATCTAAACACAACTGCAGATCTGTGCCTGATGAGGGACAATGATGCAACGCGGCGCCTTCGTTCCTTCTGCTTATCTGCGTCGTTACTGAGGGTTGTTTTGGTAAACGGCAGAAAAGCTCATCAACTTATCACCGATCTAAACCAAACCTGCATGAGCCGCGCTGCAACTGCTGTAAACATCACAAGAGGAATTCCAGAGACCGAACAGAAGCCGCACAGAAGCCGCACAGAAGCCGAGATCAACGAGATGGAGCCGCGTTCTATTGTGTTACTCAAAGGGACAGACGTCAGGATCGTCAGGTTAATTTGAGTCAAAGAAATCAGGTCACAAGGTAATAGATAAAAGTTGACAATTTTAGAAGCCATTTTACAAAAGAAGGAGTTGGTATTACATTGGGGTGGGATTTGGCAAAAATGTGTCGATTTGAATTTGATAGTATGGTGATATTTGGGCCACAAATCAATATAATTGATAATTTGAATCAGATATTGCAATTCATGTCTCTCACAATATTCAAAGGCATTACACAAAATTAGGACATTAGGACTGCTTAACTCCAATGTCATGTGTATTATGGTCTGCACATTAAAGGTACAGTGTAGGAGGATTGTCTACTCCCGGGTGGATCATCAAGACTAATTGTCCTCCTAATTGTCCATCATTCTGGTGATACGTGCTCGTCAAATAAGACCAGAGAGTTATGTTCAAAATGTGGAGACGGTGGTTCTTTCCTAAAATTTGGGAAAATCATCCTATATACCATTAACTGAAGCTTAAAGCCTAGTTTATACTCGCACGGCGTGGAGCTTACGAAGGTGACGTGACGTCACTTGCGCAACGCGTTGGTCACCGCAAGGCCCTTACGCCGCCTGCCGCGCAGCATCGAAATTTTCTAACTACGTAAGGGTCGCCGCAAGAAAGCTCCGCTGTGATTGGTCCGTGTGTGTGTATTGGAAGGAAGCATGAAGCGGCTGCAGCAGGGACATGGACGAGGCACTATGGAGCAGAGAGCTTTGTGCTCCGAAGGAAAAGCAGTTTGGGCTCAGAGCCTGATATACAGGAGACTGTGGACTATCTAACATCTATATAACTTATATCTAACATATATATAACTTATAAACTGTGCAGTCGTTTGTTTTGCACTGTTCCTGTCTTGTTTGAATCGTAGCTGTGTTTGTTGCTTTCCTCCTGCACTCGTAAATCGTTCATGTTTGTCTCAGATATTTACCACTATTATTGTTTTGCTGTTTGTGCTGAAAACTATTTAATAATAACTATGTTTCCAACAAGAACTGTCTTTATTCACAGCATCACAGTTGAAATAACTTATAAAATAATGAATCCATAAAACTATTACATAAACCTACAGTAGAAACACGTGTAATGATCTCAAACAGCTTTGTTTGCTATTGTTGTTCTGAAGAGGACAAAGTAGCAGCGTAAATGGGACCGCTCCTGTGTGATCGCCCTCATGTGGTTTGTTGTGGGATTACAACATTCTCCTCAAAACTCCGTAAGGGGAACGCGCCAGTATAACATCAATTGTGCTTACGTAGGTCCACCGCAACCGCTAACGTAAGCCACGCCGCGCAAGTATACACTAGGCTTAAGAAGGGAGGACAACAACGTTATTCTAGAACATTCAGGACACATGACCTTATTACAGACGAGACATCATTACGATGAAAGATGAGCTCCCAGAAAATTATTCAAATACAAAAGTCAAATGAAACAAAAATGCGAAAGTGAAACAGATAATTGTCTAATTCAATATTGTAACTGTATTGGATTAATTGTGTGCACAAAATATCGCAATTCTTGGGTTTCATTAAACTGGCCAGTAGGGGGCGAATGAGCAGAGGTGGACAACTCAGTTTTGCTCCCTTGAGAAAACCGTGTAAACCGTGTCTGTTTTGGAGTCAAAAGGCTCTCCTCCTGTGAGGCGTACGGTTGTTGGAACAGCCTTAATCGGGGACACTCAATTCTAAGGGAGTACTAAAAAATATTCCTCAAAAGAGTCTTGATTTTGGGAATTTTTGGAAGAAAAAAACAGAAGAAATTGCTGCGTTTCATTCGGGTGGCCTGAAGGGGGCGCTTATCTGGGAAAGCCTTGGTTCGCCTTTTTTCAAAGTGTACTCCTTTACATGAGACCACAGTTGGAACACGGAAGAAAGTCTTGTATTTCTCTCTATTTGCGCGGTTGCTACGTACACCGCACAAAATCTAGATGCAAGCCATCATAGGATCAACCAATGGGATACCTTTATTCGTAGGGAAAACTCCAGTTTGTCTTGGCAACACGTCCTAAGCTAACCTCGTCATAAAATTTGCCCATAGGGAGAATATACAAGGGTTCCAGCTAGCTTATGTTCAAATCAGCATCTTCCGCATAAAGGCTAACACCATGGTGATGTCACACTCGGTCAGTCCACTCCTAATATAGGGTCTACGAAACTAATACATTACAGCTACCACCACAGACGCTGTATTTACATTTATTTGAATAGCACATCCTCTCATGACACTGGAGAGAGTGTTGGGTCCATAACAGGGGCCTGCTGAACGAAAGCAGAGGATGTAGGCTCTTGTTTCGACATGTTTTTGCTTTCCCGTCCCTCGCGGTGCGGAGCAGTGGGTTTGGAGCAACACAAGGTAAAATAAACAGCACAGACTTCCCCCGGAACAAGGGCCATTCCCGGAGGAATCCTGGGAATGTGGAGCGGGACCCGGGGCCTGGTCTGACCACATCCTGGACACTGTCTGAACCACGTATGTATAATCCGACCTGGGCGACCAGAGAGAGACCAGAGAGAGAGAGACAAGAGAGAGAGAGAGACCAGAGAGAGAGATCAGAGAGAGAGATCAGAGAGAGAGAGAGAGAGAGAGAGATCAGAGAGAGAGAGAGAGAGAAGAGAGAGAGAGGGACCAGAGAGAGAGAGACCAGAGAGAGAGACCAGAGAGAGAGAGAGACCAGAGAGAGAGGCCAGAGAGAGAGAGACGAGAGAGAGAGAGAGACCAGAGAGAGAGATCAGAGAGAGAGATCAGAGAGAGAGAGAGAGAGAGAGAAGAGAGAGAGAGGGACCAGAGAGAGAGAGACGAGAGAGAGAGAGAGACCAGAGAGAGAGATCAGAGAGAGAGATCAGAGAGAGAGAGAGAGAGAGAAGAGAGAGAGAGGGACCAGAGAGAGAGAGACCAGAGAGAGAGAGACCAGAGAGAGAGAGAGACCAGAGAGAGAGGCCAGAGAGAGAGAGACCAGAGAGAGAGGCCAGAGAGAGAGAGACCAGAGAGAGGCTAGCGAAAGACCAGAGAGAGAGACCAGAGTGAGAGGCCAGAAAGAGACCAAGAGAGAGAGGCCAGAGAGAGACCAGAGAGAGAGAGTCCAGAGAAAGACCGGAGAGAGACCAGAGAGAGAGAGTCCAGAGAAAGACCGGAGAGAGACCAGAGAGAGAGAGTCCAGAGAAAGACCAGAGAGAGACCAGAGAGTTTGAGACCAGAGTGTGAGACCAGAGAGAGAGACCAGAGAGAGAACCTGAGAGAGACCAGAAAGAGAGCCAGAGAGAGCAGTGGATCTCACTTATTGCAGGTTATTTTTAGAACACATCACCCCTGCCACAAACCATATCCACAGTCCATCAGCGCTCACCTTGTATCCGGATCTTGAACTTGCCGCTTTGGCCGAATCCGCCCTCGATGACGCCGTGCTCTCCGGACGACAGCGTGACCTTTAACCCCACGAACAGCTGCAAGTTCGTCTCCTTCTTGAACAGACTGCGACCGATCACCGTGTAGTCGTCTGTGATCTGAGAGGAAACGTGTAATGTCATGTACGAGATTGAGACGAGCAGAGAAACAAAAGCCCGAAGAAGAGATGGCGTTATGGAAATGGTGTTATTGGGAACATGTATGGGCCTCCAAACCGATTTCATACAGAGAGATTGACCGAGACTGAAAGGGACCAATGGGACAAACAAGAGATTTTGATACGTTATAGTAGGGCTGGGCGATATAAACGGTATAAGCGGTATGCGATATAAATTTGGCCAACGGTAGAGATTTTTGTTATACCGGCATAGTGCGATAGGTCATTATGTCATCAAATTGCTGTACAGCTGCGGCAACTGCTCATATCAAGTGGGAAACCTATGGAGTCTCTACTTTGCTAAAAAATATTTCTCTAACGGGTGTCAATTTTTAGGAAAATGCCTAATAAGGAACGGGAGAAATGCGCTAGCATTAGCATTAGCTTGCGTAGCATCTGCGGCCACAGAGATAGCTGACAGTCTGCAGTCTTTACTTCGTGTACTTTCATAGATACAATGCAGTATTTTTGTGTGGTATACAGTTGTAGTAGCCAAGGCAACAAAAAGAAAGAACTGTTAAATACATTTTCTAATTGCAGCCCCCGCTGTTACCTCACTCACTGCTGTTAGCTTAGCGCTATTAGCTTAATGCTACGGAGCTAAGCTAATAGCGGAGCTTCCCCTGGAGCTCCGTACTTTTGGTTATTTACAGCTCAACAAATCACCGAAAAGACAATAAAGGATCAGATTTCTCGCTTCAAATGCTGTCTAAAGTAACATTTGTGCTATATTTATTGTGTTATTGATCAGAACTGTCATCTCAGACGTGTATCTGTTGATCCCTGTTCACTATAAACAGCCTTAATCTTTCTCATTGTTTAAAAAAATTGACTCATTCAAACACTACAAAGCATACGCTGCATTAAAATATTTTTCACTCATATAATAAGAGTGATACTAAGGCGCGAAAAGCTCCTATGTCTGCGTTTTCCAGCATTGCCCATTCTATTTAATAGGAGAAAAATACTTCCTGTCCTACGGACACATGTCCCACCCCCTTGTGGTTATGTGGTTGAAACCCAGAAATGCTGCTTGGAAGTTAAAGTTTTATAATGTTCTGTATAGTTGCAGTTTTGCACAATACATTTAAATAAGTAACAATCTTGACTTTTATGCAATAGTCAAGATTGTTACTTATTTAAATCAGGTCTCAAGAACCTGCTAGACCTATATTGAAATTCACACACCAAATTATACCGCAATATATACCGTCTACAGTCTGTGTCCCAAATTATACCGCAATATGAATTTTAGGCCATATCGCCCACCCCTATGTTATAGAGACCAGTAAATTCAAATGTGCATAAAAATACACATGTTTAACCAAATGTGCAAAAAACAACAACAACAAAATGCAAGACACCAGATACAATATATGAATAATTTTAAGAAATAATAAATGCAGACACATGGACAGATTGCCAATTTTTGCCTTACGGAGTAGAACGACCGAGTGCGGATGAATCAGATTTGAACATAAACTAGCTGGAGCCCATTTCCTTATATGGCCGTTTATTCTGCAGCATTAACTTTGCCTTTGTGAAACTGGTTTTGCCTGGATTCGGGCTGTTCTGGGTTAAAAATGAGCTTTAACAAAGATGAAGTTTGCTGGATGACAAATTATCATCTCACCAGCTTTTGTTAGTGCCATTAACAGGATAAAAACCAAGAACCAAGCCGTTTTGAGAGTGAGGAACTAGCTACATGGATTATATTACATTGTTTTGGGGGTTTGAAAGTTACGTACCCCAGATTTGACGCTAGAACTCCCAAAGCAGTCAATTTGACGGCTTCTAGTTTTGTCTCTGTTGTCTTCATCACTTTGTGGCTTTTTGTGCATCAATTTGTGTTTACTTCTATGTCATTAACCAACATTCTATGGTAGTTAAAGCCTTGTTTTCTCCAAGGTGCTGGTCCTGAACTGGTTCACCGTTAGCAACTGTTTTGATGTGTTTTAAATTATATTCACCAGTTTCAGCACATACTAAAGTTAAAGCAAAGTAAGATAAGACAAGATAAACTTTATTGATCTCACAGCGGAGAAATGTACAATAATAATAATAAAAAGTAATAAAAGAGAAAGTAAAAACCTTGCCATACTTTTAAAAGATATGGTTGAAAACTAAACATGTTTTTGGGAGTTTCTCAGAAGTCCATTGATTTGAATGAGAGTCCTAGGGAAGAGCTTAATCTAACGAACACATTCCTGCGTTGGAGTCGGAGCAGAAACGCTGTCAAAGTGGTATTTCAGTCAGACAGTCACACATTTCAGATCTGCAGATATATATATATAGATGAGCCTCGTGCGTTCTTCCCCATGTCACGTTCTCTGGCCCTGCCGCCTGCCTGTCTCTCGGCCGTCTTTCAACCTCCCCGCACATTTTACGCCGCGTTTGTTTGTATTTCTTGCTTATCGTCCATCGCTAACCCGCCGCTAATCTGATAACAGCAAGGGCACCGCTCTGTCTCCCAGTCACCCGCGTCCCCATTCATGCCTGAGCATTTGACCCGGCCCTGACCGCGACCGATGCGCCGGCGCTGACACAGACGCGCGCAGCTGACGAGCGTCTCAACAATGCCAGTTATGTGTCGCAGATGCAGGAATCTATCGGAGAATGAGGAGACATCACACGACCAGTTTATGACCACAGAGCTGTCATAACCGAAATCCTAGTTGTTGCTTAATAGGTCAGGCTGAAGCTAAATAGATGGAAAAGAGATAAGAAAATATATTGAATGAGATTAAACGGTTAAAAGATACATACAGCGATAATAGAAAGTAAAAATATACACACGGATACATGGTGGAGATGAGTCGGTTAGCTACATGGTGTTGTTAGAGAGAGGGTCCACAGACAGAGAGACCAGAGAGACCAGAGAGACACCAGAGAGAGACCTCAGAGAGAGAGACCAGAGAGTATGGGACCAGAGAGAGACCAGAGAGAAGGAACAGAGAGAGAGGCCAGAGAGAGACCAGAGAGAGAGACACCAAAGAGAAGGTGAAAGACATGACCAGAGAGAGGCTAGAGAAAGACCAGAAAGGCCAGAGAAAGGCCAGAGAGAGACACCAGATAGAGAGGACAGACAGAGACCAGAGACATACCAGAGAGGGACCAGAGATAGGGAGAGAGACCTGAGAGAGACCAGACAGAGGGACCAGAGAGAGAGAGAGAGAGAGACCTGAGAGAGACCAGACAGAGGGACCAGAGAGGCCAGAGAAAGGCCAGAGAAAGGCCAGAGAAAGGCCAGAGAAAGACCAGAGAAAGACCAGAGAGAGAGAGACCAGGGAAAGACCAGAGGGAGAGACCAAAGAGAGAGGACAGACAGACACCAGAGAGAGGCTAGAGAGAGACTAGAGAGAGAGAGCAAAACTTCATCCATGAGCACTTCCCTATTGGGCTTCATTGTGCTAGGGAGTAAGCATAGTCCACCTATAAACAGTCTATGCAGTTAACCCAAAAAAATCATCGAGTTTTAAGTTTTACTCAGTGAAAGATCTGTTGTTATTTACGGGAAAAAAATCAATTCCATTACTATTATTTTGTATAGCCCTAGATCACAACAGTATTATCTCAGAAGACTTCACAAAGTTGTCAATTCGCTATCACAAATCAGAGAATCGAGCCATTCAAACACAGGAAATGCAATGATAAAAAATAAAGAGCCATTGGTCCATAAGGGAGATGACAATTTCCATAAATGTCGTTAAATGTCAAAAATAATTCGTAATAAATGAGAGAAAGATTATTACTCCCTTCACTGGTTCATATTTATGAAAGTGTTGAGATCAGGATCAGACCTTAAAAAATCTGCACCTCCATCTTGATTAAATATAATATCATCAGTTTAACATAAACTTTAAAACGTCTAAATGAAAACAGTGAACAATTAGTAACAGTAAATAATTGCGAACTGAAAACCTATCGTATGCACATTTACATGATAAATAGACCAAATTCTTTGTTGTTAGAACGAGTCACACGTCATTTACTCTAAAGTCAAAACGCACCGTTGTTATCTGCAGATGATCAGATAAAGTTTGGAGACGCGACTAAATTCAAAACATAATCCCGGAAGTGCAGCAGGTGAAGTTATCCGAAGCATTTGCATGTAAGTTATGAAGGCCATTTGTCATAAAGGCCAAAGTCAAATGTACGATTTTTCTTGCATTTTTGACAATGTGTTTCTCATGTGCCGTCTGTACTCCAACGACTCCATAGAACCGCTGGAACAACAGTAACCTTCATTTAAAGTTAGAAGAAAACTTTAGTGGATCCATGTGATTTCTTCGGTTTCTCTCTCTCTCTGGTCTCTCTCTGGTTTCTCTCTGGTCTCTCTCTGGTCTCTGTCAGGTCTCTGTCAGGTCTCTGTCAGGTCTCTGTCAGGTCTCTGTCAGGTCTCTGTCAGGTCTCTGTCAGGTCTCTGTCAGGTCTCTGTCAGGTCTCTGTCAGGTCTCTGTCAGGTCTCTGTCAGGTCTCTGTCGGGTCTCTGTCGGGTCTCTGTCGGGTCTCTGTCGGGTCTCTGTCGGGTCTCTGACGGGTCTCCGTCGGGTCTCCGTCGGGTCTCTCTCTGGGACTCTCTCTGGGTCTCTCTCTGGGTCTCTCTCTGGGTCTCTCTCTGGGACTCTCTCTGGGTCTCTCTCTGGGTCTCTCTCTGGCCTCTCTCTGGTCTCTCTCTGGTCTCTCTCTGGCCTCTCTCTGGCCTCT